ACCTTGCGAAAAACAAGTTAAATGGAAGTCTCCCGATGATGTGTTTTCGGCTTCCACAACTTGAAAAATTTAGTATAGGAGTTAATGAATTTGTTGGAAGCATTAGAAGATCAATTGGCAACTGCACATCGCTCAGAGGGTTACTTTTAGGGAACAACTTTTTTAAAGGTACCCTCAATTTGCTATCTTCGTATTACTTGAAATTTTTTATAATTGAAGAAAACGATGAACTATGGATGCATTTTCTATGGCTTATCATAGTCAAAGTTAGTCCACACTGAACGACCAAGTCATGGCATTGAGGATTTGGATGCTCTCATGTTCTGGCGGAAACATGATCCTCATGTTCAAATTCACTTAAGCGAATTTTGAACAGTTTAAGTGAATTAAAAATGACTTAAGCAAATTATAAAAAAAAAAGAGTAAATTATATAGAAACTAACAGCATGTTATCAAAGGATAAAATTTTATAAAATTTATTATCAAAGTCTCATCCAGAAATATTTAACTGTGTCAGCAAAACATAAATAAAAATTTTATTTTATTCCATTCCATTAATGGTACACAATTGTTCACAATAAAATTTACTAAAAAAAAAAATTCATTAATACATAGACAAGTCAAAAACAAAAGAAACTGAAATATTCTATTTCATTCCATTCATATCAAATATCATCTAAGAATAAATAGGAGAGGATGAAAATAACGAAGAAACTGAGGCATTCTATTCCATTCCATTCATATCAAATATCATTCGGGAATAAATGGAAGAGGATGATGATAACGCAATGTCTCAGCTTCTTTTATTTTTGATTTGTATTAATAAATTTTTTTTGGGTAAATTTCATTGTGAACAATTGTGTTCCATTAATGGAATGAAATTTTTATTTATATTTTGTTGCAACAGTTAAATATTTCTGGATGAGTAAAATTGACTTTGATAATAAATTTTGTAAAATTCTATCCTTTAATAACATGTTGTTAGTTTCTACATAATTTACCTTTTTTTTTTGCATAATTCGTTTAAGTCATTTTTAATTTGCTTAAGCTATTTTTAATTCGCTTAAACGAATTTTAACATGAGGGTGATGTTCCTGCCAGAACATGAGAGGATTCGAATCCTGGCATTGACAACTGATAAATGCATAATAAATTTATTTGGCATTTAAGAATACCTGTCAATTATACCATCTTTTAAGGTTTAAAAAACACTTATAAGGATGTTTATATATTATTCACCAATAAAATTCTCACATCGTGAGATTCGAACTTATATTTGTATAAAATATATATGAATCCAGTTCTTATTAAATAAACCTTTAAGCATTCTTATGGGATACAAAGTTTTAACATCGATAGAGTCAAAGTATACTTTAAAGTTTAAAAAACATTTTTGTTGACGACAGCCTAGCTGTTAATAATGGTTATTTTTAAAAAAATTATTAATATGTTAATTAATTTAAACTAAACTACGTTATAACAAAATAAATAAATAATATGTGTAGGTAACAAAAAATTATAAATAATAATAAAATTAAACTAAATTAGTATATTAATCATTTAATTTTTAGTATGTTTAAATTTAATCTTTTATTTTTTTATTTTCTTCCTTTAACTTATTTAAATTAAGTATTTTTTTTATCAAAAACATTTATTATTAAAAAAATTGTTCATCGTCTTAAATTTCATCACAAAGATAATTTGATGAATTTTGTAACTATTAACAAAAACTCACCCGACAATTTTTTTTCTTCTTCAAACTTTAACAAAAATATTGTTTTTTCTATTTTCTTATTTATAATTTTTCATTGATAAATAAAATTATATTAGATATTATATTAAACACTCGTTATTGTTGGATATAATTAGAATGTTGAAATTAGCTATTATATTTCTTTGATATAATTTTTATCCTTTATTATTTGCTATTCTAAAATTACTGCTTTTTTATCTTAAATTTCATGATTCTCACACCCTTAATATAGTCTAACGTAGATCCATTAACCTTAATATAGTCTTTCTTTTGTTGTTTTAGATCTTTTAAGATTTTTCTAAGCTCTCACTTCAAATTATATTTATAATTATGCTTCAATTATAACTATCTTTTATAATTACCTATCATCACATTAAATTATTTAATTCGAACTAAATTATTCTCATTAAATACATGAGCCTTTGAATGGATTAGATTATTAAAAGTTAGATGAGCCCTTAAATAAATTTTTAAAATAATCTAATGTAATTATTAGAGTGTTGAAATCCAAATAAACTTTTTGATGTTTGTATGATTCAGAGGTGGAAACTTACATGTGAATAATGTTTAAGAAAACAGAATACTGGTAGTGTGGTGTATATGCATGGATGCATACATGTACATGTTGATTCATGGCATGATCTGTGCTTCCAGGTTCGATACCGATGGAGATAGGGAATCTTGAACGACTTGAGACACTAGCATTGGGATATAACAACTTGAGTGGAACTATTCCTTCAACGCTCTTCAACATGTCAACATTGTCATACTTATATCTTGCAGTCAATTCTCTCTCAGGCATTCTTCCCTCCGATATGGGACATGGCCTTCCTAACCTGGAGAATCTACAATTGTACGGAAACAAACTTGGTGGAAACCTTCCAAATGCTTTATCCAATGCTTCTAAGCTCTCTGTAATTGACTTGAGTGAGAATGAATTTAGCGGCGTTATACCCAATGTATTTGGAGTTTTGCCACTCCTCCGTTCGCTTATTATAGCTTCCAATTATTTGACAACAGATGATTCTCTTGAACTTAACTTCTTTTCTACGTTGACAAGTTGCAGATATTTGAAACATCTGGTGGTATACCAGAATATTCATCTACCAAAACTTCCCAAGTCCATTGGAAACTTATCCAACTCTCTAGAAGTCTTTTTGGCACAATCTTCCGGTATCGAAGGCAATATTCCACAGGAAATCGGAAACTTGAGCAGCTTGATACGTTTATCTTTGGGTAGGAATCATATAAAAGGACCAATCCCTGGTACAATCAAAGGGTTAAAGAACCTTCAGTTTTTGGGTCTAGGGTATAATCCACTGCAGGGACCCATCGTTACTGAGCTTTGTGAAATTCGTAGTTTGGATGCGTTTGATCTAACTAACAGTAACCTTTCTGGAGTGTTACCATCATGCTTGGGAAATATGACTTTTCTTCGATATGTTTTTATAGGATCTAACAGATTCATCTCTGCCATACCTTCTTCTTTTTGGAATCTCAGAGATATCTTAGAGGTAGATTTATCCTCCAATGCTTTAAGTGGAAATCTTTCCCCTCAGATTGGGCAGTTGAGAGCACTTTTACGGTTGAATCTGTCAAGAAATCAGATTTCAGGCAACATTCCTGCAACCATTAGTTTCTCGAAAACTTTGCAGGATCTCTCCTTATCGCATAACAAATTACGAGGCTCTATTCCTTCATCACTTGGTCAGATGGTAAGCTTGAGCTCCTTGGACTTGTCCCAAAATCTTTTGTCCGGTGTGATTCCAAAGTCATTAGAGTCGCTTACCTATCTTAAATACATTAACTTTTCTTACAATGGATTAGAAGGAGAGATTCCCAATGGTGGACCTTTCATATATTTCACAGCTCAATCTTTCATTCATAATAAAGCACTTTGTGGCAACCCTCGCCTACAGGTCCCTCCATGTAGTAACCAAGTTAGGCCAAATTCATCGGCAAAGAAGCTGCTTTTAATCAAATGGCTACTGCCCATAATTGTGTCAATCATTTTGGCTGTCACATGCATAGTACTTGTACGGCGTAAAAAGAAACAAGCTCAAAATCCCCTTGAAAGAGATTTATCAACTTTGGGAGCACAAAGAAGAATTTCCTATTATGAGCTTGTACAAGCAACTGATGGATTCAGCCAGAGTCATTTTCTTGGAAAGGGGAGCTTTGGTTCGGTGTATCAAGGGATGCTCGCTAGTGGGACGATGGTTGCAATTAAAGTATTTGATTTGGATTTGGATGCAGTATCGAGGACCTTCGATGCAGAATGCAATGCATTACGCAATCTCCGTCACAGAAATCTTGTTAAGGTTATCAGCAGTTGTTCAAATAATGATTTCAAATCTCTGGTAATGGAGTTCATGCCAAATGGAAGTTTGGATAAATGGTTATACTCTGATGAGCATTGCCTAGACTTCTTGCAAAGGTTGAATTTAGTGATAGATGTGGCATGTGCATTGGAATATCTCCATCATGGTTATTCAACACCAGTTGTTCACTCTGATCTAAAGCCTAGTAATGTTTTATTGGATGAAAATATGGTTGCCCATGTTAGTGATTTTGGCATTGCCAAGCTCTTAGATGAAGGGCAATCTAAAACACATACTCAGACTCTTGCTACTCTTGGCTACATTGCACCAGGTGAGTTCTTTCCTAACATAATTAAGTGCACCATATATTAATTATTCATACTTGTGAATATTTGATAACTAGTAATTAGTACATTGGCATGCAGAGTATGGATCTAAAGGAATAGTTTCTGTGAAAGGAGATGTGTATAGTTATGGGATAATGTTGATGGAAATCTTCACCAGAAAGAAGCCAACAGATGATATGTTTGCAGCAGAATTGAGCTTGAAAAATTGGATCAGTGAGTCAATGCCCAATTCAATCATGCAAGTTGTGGATTACAATTTAGTGCAAACACGGGGAACATATTGATGACACATTGCCTCATATATCATCTATTTTGGAAATAGCCTTGAATTGTTGCGCGGATTCCCCTGAAGCGCGAGCAAATATGACACATGTCACCGCATCATTAACCAAAATCAAGACTCTGTTCACCCCATGCCAAAATGGTTTCCAACTGAACAAATCATAAGCCAATGATTTGTCCCTTAGTCCCTTCTACGACTTCCCTGGTTTTTTGAATATATAAATTTTCAATCATGAATAAAATTTTAACTCTCGTTCTCCTCCTCTTTGTCTCTTCTGTTTTTTTTTTCAATTTCGTCTTTGCACCTTTGTTAGATCATTGTAAATAGATATATGTTGTAAAACTATAATTATCATTACATTAGAAATAAAACAAACAGCTTTTTCTCTTCTTATCAAACATCATCGATCTGTAATGAAGCGGTGTATGAGTCATCACACTCGATAACAACGACGGGACATAAATCTATATGCTTTATAGTTTAATCCAAACTCAGCTTATATTTTAAATACAAGAATGAAATGTCATTTATGTAAAGAAGTATGTGAAGACTGAGACATGCAAAAATAAATATGAACTCATCTTACAATTAAGCTGGAGAATACTATTTTTGTTTCAATGAAAAGTAACAGTAAAAATAAGTTACGCAGTGGTATTGAAGGCCATTAACTCCAAAGATTTGTATGCAAAAAGAGGAATTCGTATCAATTTAGCCAACCTATAACAGCTAAGCTCGATTGTACTTGAAACTATATTAAGATGGCATATAATAAATCAACAAAAAGAATGCTCTTTGAATAGTAGTTGGAGAAATTTCAATATAAAAAAGGAAATATAAGTGAAAAAGGGAAAGGAAAAAGAAGAGGCTCTTTCGGTTTGTTTTCCACCAAATTCTTTATACTTGATTCTTACAAATAAGATCTATTGTCACCAAATGTAAAATACTCTCTCTCTCTCTCTGTATATTTATATATATACTGTATTTATCAATATTTACCTCAGAACAACACACGTGACATATTCCAAAGAATGCAACCAGGAAACATTTGGGCGATCACTTGTGAAGCTGGTAATTTCTTTACATGGAAGCTTCACATCTTCAGGGCACTCACCCTCAGATGTCAAATTGGAAACATGGTTAAGTACTAACATCCCACTAAAATGATGATGCCTGACAGCATGTATGGCAGGAACCAATCATCCACCACTATATGAGCAAGTATGAAGAATTGAAGGCAAGAATAATAGAGTTTGATTCCCCAGCTAGAACATATTTACACGAAAAAACCATGGCAGAACAAATGCTATTACCAGGCATGCCATCAAGAAGTTACAAAATGGCTGTCCTCGCCAGCATCCGCCAAACCTACGGGATGAGTTACCATCGCTGTTCATGAATCTTCTTTCATTCCACTCTTCCATAAATCCAATACTAGCAACACCCGAAACATTTTTTGCAGTCTCACCACATATTTCACATAACCTGTGGTTCAAAATGTACGAAATATAAATCATTTATTTGATAATGGATTGTAACACAAAGGCACTCACTTGACATGTGACCATTATTCAAATTTGGCATTAAACAAATAGAACTATAACATAGAACAAAGGAACCTAGGATTATTCAATTGAAAATTAGTTTGGGGGGCATTAGGGAGAGCTTTTAAAAAAATTATTTGAACGTGTAAAAATAGCTTACAATCTTCTATAATCTTTTTTTTTAACTTATTTAAACCAACATCATGGAGAAGCTCATCAAATAAGCTCTTTTCTAACTTAAGAATAAGTTTTTATGTGATAAGCTTTAATTGAATAATCATTTAATTATGTTGTTTATCCAAATGATCAGTTAAAGTGGATTGTAACAAAGTTGTTCTCATTTGGAAAGGGAACAATTTCCATATTTGGACTGTGCTATATATAGAAGTTCATTTCACCGTTGATAAAAGTATAAGCTTACTTTTCCTAGTCCATGCCCCATATGTCATCTGAACAGAGGACATCAGATCCAAAAGAATCTCCACCAAGGACAACCAACACAAACGTGACAATAAAATGTAATAATTTGCTAGTTGCTAAACTGGGACTTGATGGCATCATATGGATGTCAATTACACTCAACTCAAACACTAGAAGCAATTTACTAATCATTCTAATCCATAATATTACATCCTAAAGGAGGAAACCCCACTGGGTATCAGGACGCATTTGTCCAACTAACCCTTCGTAGAACCCATAAACTATAGGAACTCCAAATAGGTGATGGCTATTTGCAAGGTAGAGCTATGTCCAGGTGCAGTAATGATATGATGATAGCAGTTCTCCAACCACAGATGTAACAGTCCAAAGCAAATAGCAGTGACCTTTACTAACCAGTTCACTAATGATGAATGATAAGAAAATTCAATTTCTAGAGCTTGACCTGAAATTAAGCATAATCTTAGCTATGAATCTGGAGAGGACAAGAAGGAAAACTAATAATGGTATTGGAAGTTCTACTTCTAAAATCCTATTATAATCTAAGAACACATTTATAAGGGTGCAACAGAAAAGACAAGTCATGGAAAGACAAAAAGATAAACCTATCCAATATCCAACATTATTGATGAAATTTGAAATTACAAATATTCCAAATTATCAGGGGCAACTGCAGCATGCAGACACACGAGCTACAAGAGGGCAAGAGGAATATTTGCTTATAGAAATTGTGTCAAATTGGACAGTTAAGTAATAAGAACATATGAATCCCTACATATATTGGACAACATCAGGAACATGATCAATGTTGAAAGCTCCAATGCAAAACTTCAAAAAACATCTTAATGTTATTGTTGATCAACAAACTAGAATCAAACTGATATTTGGCAAAAAAAAGATACCTGTTTCCCTTAAGCTTGAACCATGCCTCTGCACAATGAACGTGTGCAATGCCTAGCTCATCTTTACACGCACAACCAAGCTGAATCAAATCTGCACTCGTAGCACTATTAACAGGGCCAACAGTTGTTGCATCCGAAGGTTGCCCAGAAGCCAGATGGCAAATCCTACAAATCCTTTCACCTTCAGAATTTTCATAATACCCCTTGTGGCTGCTGCACTTTATATCAATCACACACGAATTTTTATCAGTTTCAGACACCTCTTTTGTTGCTTTCATGGATACCAAGCTCAACCCTGATTCGTTAACTTTTGCTCCCAATTTCCTATTATCTTCGTTGACATATTCAGTTTGAACAGACTCTATCACAACCACAGTTTCAACCACTTCCTGATTAACCAAATGATTTGAATCATAATTAGTTCCCTGATCAACCCCAGGCAATTTATCACTGATATTTTCTTCATCATGCTTGTCCTGACCCTTAACTTCCTCAAGCCCCTCCTTAATCTCCTTATTGGATACCATTTCCTTACCCACCTTTCCTGAACTTCCAGCTTCTCCACTCATACTAATTCTGCCACCCAAGCTGCTCCCATCTACAGCATCAATTGCAACCACTTCAACCAAATGAGTCAAATTCCCATCCACCCCTTCATGAACCTGATCCAATACCTCACCTCCGCATATGTTTTTGTCTTGATCCATTAACTACTCGTTCCACTATCAAACCTGAAAAAAATACTCCCAACAATGCTACAGCACAAACCCTACCTTAAAAAATGCTCCTTTTTCTCTAATTACAGAAGATGAACAATGTGATCAAACGAAAGGTGGAAAACACATATCTTTCAACGACCCACTTGCTGATTTGAGACATAATCTTCAAATATTCTCACAAATAATCTATTTTCCTTTCTCAATATAAAAAAAAATGAAAACGTGGGATGTCACCTATGATATGGATGACCTCACTCTCCAAGGAAACAACCCCCAAACAGCCGCAAAGACAAGAGTTTACCTCAAAATATTGAATTCCACAAACGAGTTCGAAGTGGCTATGTTTCAAATTTCAATCCAACCCACGCCAGGTAAAACCTGCGTGGCTTGCTACAGGTGGTAATTGGAGGAAAAATAATGTATTTTAAGTGGGGAAATAGAAGCAGGATTAGGTGAAGAAATGAACTGGGAAAAACAAGACAACTAGATTGAGTGCAACTGAATCATTAGTTGAATTGGGTTAGAGAGCAAAAAGCAAGGGAGATAAAAGGGTTACTTTGTCTTTATTGGACAATTTTAACAGAAACCCTTTAACAAAGGGAGAAAAAAAACAGTGAAAGGGATGAGAGTGCATATTACAAAGGATGAGTCTTTATTTATTCTTAATTTAGTTGCAAAAGTTTTAAAAAATTTAATTTTCTCCTTCAATGTTATCCGGGGCAAGAGTTTGTGATGTGAATGGCGGTTGAAATGGGCAAGTGGGTGGGTGGGTATGTGGTGATGTTTGTCTACTGTACATGTTAGTGCCGTAACCAGAACCTCCAACTAGAGGTTGTGGTGAAGTTGGACAGATTTTCAAGGACCATCAAAAATTGGTAATTAACATGAAAGCCTTTGGACTCAGGTTTTCACTTAATAGTGACAACTACTGGCCACTGATCTGTTAGCCATAGGAGAAATATTATCCATTAATTTGTTCTCTTTCTCGTTCCCTTTATTTGTGTATGTTGTTAATTTGTTTTTTGTGTGTGTATTTGTCGTTAATTTGTTCTTTCATGCGCGTCTGTGTATGTTTTTTTCTTAAAAAAAAATTGTGAGTGTGATGTTGGTAGTTCTACGGATTATGAAAAGAACTTGTACGATCACAATTATTTTCTGCAGTGGAAAAGAATTTTTCACTTTTATGAACTCCACAATATTAAATAAAATTCAAGTTCATAAAAAATTGTGAAAAAAAAAAAGAGATAATTTATCCTCCCACCCAACTCAGAAGGTACGAGAAATCCTTAAACAGTGGTCTGGAAGAAAGCGTACGTAGCTGCCATGAAATATCAAAATTGAAGCTGTCTCTATGCATATCACTTTGTTGATGACTTGTCATAGGTGCAATGTAAGTTATTTATTAATGAGAAGTTGAATTCTTCTACGAGATAGGAGATTCAAAATTTCAAACGTTAGGCTTGTTTAGATGAATAGAAAAAAAGTATAAACTCATATATATATATATATATATATATATATATATATATATATATATATATATATATATCAAAATTTTTTTACATTAATATAAATTTAAAAAATTTATATTTAATTTAAATTTTTTAATTAATTTAAATTTAATAATTAATAAAATAATAAATTATAATCTATTAAATTTAAATTAAATAAAAATTCAGAATAAGTGTAAAATTTTTTAAATTGATACAAAAATATCGTTTTTCAGTGTATATATAGCCAATTTAAAGCTCTTGTACTATTTGAATTTTATTATTAATCTGTCGTTCAAAAGAACTGTTATTTATCTATTATATGTTGGAAAATGTGTAGTTACTGTTTACTTTCATAATAGATAAATTTAGTGGCAATGTGTAATGATTATTTTAAAGAATGATAACAACGTCACTGCCAAATTATTGGTCAAGGTAAGATTAAGAATAAAGATATCAGCAGAAGTTGAGTAAAATTAATTTTAATGAAATTAATCTTAAATTATTATTATTATTATTATATATATATATATATATTAATTCAAAATGTATATTTTGTATTAAAAAAATGTTAGAATGATATTTTAACTAGAAAACAAATAAGTCTATCAAATATCATTGAAAAGTCATAAACAAAAAGGAGTTCTAGTAACAAGGAATATTTATCCTATTAATAATTTTTTTTAATTTATTTCAAATATTAAATTGAATTAAACATTTTCTTAAGAAGATATTTCAGCAATTAAGTTAGACATTATATATGAATTTGAATCCTTTCAAGTATAAAGCGATGTATCAATTCATGATTTTAAATCTAAAGTGTATACACTCACATTATTCATTTGACACACTTTTTAACTTGATACAGTCCAAAATTACATTTTTATCATAATTTAAACGTTAAACTACTGAGTATTCTATTCAAATAAACTGCAACCATATGTTTTATCACAATAATTTCTAGAGCATATTAATATATGAGAAAATGTATCAATGTCATGACCTGAGCTAAAAGTGTTTCCATAAAAATACAGTCGTGGATCTTAATTAAGATTTAAAAATTATTTAGTGGAGAGGATTGTTCTCTTGGCGTACATAGACTTTAGGAAAATAGTTTCTTACTGGGTCATCTAATTAACTATATTTCTAAAAAAAACCTTGTATTTATTTATCCACTTTCATGATAAAGTAATAGAAGAATTAATAAGAAAAGCTTATAAGAAGAGGATGTAACATATCCTTTCATTTCATTAACAAGTCCAATCTGCACGGGTGTCTTCTCTACATCTTGATCAAACATTCAATGCTTACAAGTACTAAACGTTCACTTATTTTTCTTCTATTTTCCAACAATTTCCTTAATGGATTGGAAATGGGAGTGGGGAGCTCATTTTAATTACAAAATCGTCATATTATTTTCTATTTTTTAAAAATTTATAAAAATTAGTAAAAATAAAAAAAACCAGTTCAAATATTTAAAAAGAAAAAAGAAAACATTTATAAAATCAAACTGTCACTTAATTACTTATGTTTCTTCTCATTACAAATAGGCACACACACCATGGTGGTTTGGAAGCCTAGAAAAATCTCTCCAATATTAGACATTATCTTTGAATTCAAGTAATAAGAGTGAGAATAGTATAACCCTTTCCATATCGATCAGAATACAAATAAAATAAGGTGTAATTACTTAAGAATAATTTTTGATTGACTCCGGGAAAGTACATGATATTACAGTTGAAATGCTTGTCTTTAACAACCCAAAAGTTAAAAATGATTGTTGGCGAAGGAGAAAAGGGGCATAGAAATATAATAAGATGTTGATGAGTGTTGGTAGAGCATACACGTTTCCAGCTATTAGTGAGGTCTGAAACAATTGGCATAGCATAGATGTGAAATCAATGGCTGGACACAGCCATTACAAACCATGTGACTGCTTCTTCACAGCCACAAATCCCTTTGCTCTCTATCCATTCTGCATTCATCATAAATTCACATCTTCTCACTAATCAAATTTTATTTCTTTCCTAATCATATTATGGAACCAAAACCTTGGTTATCAAACACAAATTTGTTAGAAGAAACACTATAGAAAACAATAACATCTGTATTATAAAGTTAAGTCATCATTTTTTAATACATGCCCTTTTTTAGTTTACTCTTATCTTTTGTAATACATGACTTCACCATTAATTAACACTTATTTTTATATTTTTTAAAAATTAACTTATTAACTATTTTCAATTTTTCTCTGAAAGTTTATTCTTTTTTAAGTCTCAACTTTAATTACTTTTAAACTTTTTAATATTTTTTTTTCAAATCTCATTTCTTTTATACTTTTAAATTATTTTTTTATTTTTGAAAACTATTTTGCTGTTAAATCCAAATTATTTTTTATTGACATTAACTATATACTTTCTTATAATTTTAAATTTTATTTGAATTAAAATATTATGCACCAAATACTTGCTAGTTAGGTACTGAAAGAAATGGAATGTCTATTGCGACTTCGATTTTTTTTTTTTTTATGTGTAATATTTTTAGTATTGATATAGTTACAAGAGAAAGAGATATTTTAGACAAAATTTATATAAAAGGGAATGGAAATAGACATATGGGTGTGTGAATAGACATATTCTATAAAAGATATTAATATTAGTCTTATGATCATTAATATAATTTTTAACAAAAATGATTTATTAATATAAATACAATAATGCACCTAAGATATCCACCATTTCCTGTATCAAAAAATAAATATATAATTACTAATGAATAATTTTGTTGATATAAGAAATCAGTATGTTTTCATTAGAGCATTACATTGTTAGCATAAATTTATAATATTTATATTGATGAATAAATTTCTGTTAAATAAAGATTATATTAATATTAAGAAGACATATTTTGTCTATTAATTAGATTATAGGCTCTCTTTTTTCTTTTGTCATGAAGAAGGCACTTAGCGTATGACTGTAATATTGCTTTGTAATTGCGTAAGACATAGGAAGTTTATCTTCCATTATAAACAATGTTTTATTGAATTGATTGCACTTTCAAAATTATAATTAAAAAAGTATTGTATTTGTGGTGGACCTAAGTGATTTCAATTTTCTTTTTTGTTTTTGTCGAAAGAAAAATCTGCTAGACCCTAGTCCCTTGTTTGAGAAAACCACGTTAATTCTGTTTTAAACGTAGACATGTTTCTACTTTCTGAAGTAGCGATTAGATGGTAATAAAGGAAACTATAATCTTGTTTGTTTTATATTGAAAATAGAAATTACACGATTTTTTAGCATAAACCTCCATTCTAACCCAATTTTGTCCAAAGCTAAACAAATTCAATTCCAAACTACGGAGTTTGGAAATTAAAACAAACATGCCCCATAATCTGTTCTACACACCGAGTTGAAGAATTCAACAGTTTCTTGAACGAAAAGAAAAATGAAAATCCGAAAGTTTTGGGCATGAACGTGACGAAAAGAAAGGACGAGGAAAAGTTAGCAAATTTGACCACACTACTGCTGACAGAGATTATGCCTTTGTCACCACCAAAAGCGAGGTTTGAACAACAAAAATGCATTATGCTAGGCACTATTTATGGTTTCCAAATCTACATTATATCCACTTTGAATATCAAATCAAAATTGTAGAATATCTTAACATATAAACACATTCACATTCACACATGTGAGAATACTTTTCATTTGCGTATCTTTAAAGACTGACAGATTGTAATATTAAATCTAGACGAGGTCAATTATTCACCATGTCAATACATATTTTTCTTCTCAAACTAAATGCTACATCCTTTTGGCTTAATAGGTTTTGGGGTTGTGTTTCAGAAGAAATTTAACATTTGAAAGAACTGCACATAGTAAAAAAAACGCCATGAATTAGCAGCATCCCCCTACAGAAAAAGAAAGTTTACTCTCCAAGCATCAAGATGCAAGAGTCCCCCTTTTCAAGTGTTAATACACGTTCTACGCATAAACCAGAAAGTCAAGAATTTCCATTTACAACTTCTTAGAATGATATTAATTCACATATTAAGAATTAACATTTGGAAGGGGGGAAAAGTCATAATTATAAGCTCTACCTGAAAAGATGCCTAAATATTCTACAGTATATAATCAATTAGAATTAAATGAAACCTTTTAAACAAACCTAAGGAATGGGAGGGAAAGTAAATAGGTTCCCACGTGTAATCCATAATGATAAAATGCAAAACTCGTACACATAGACTTTGCAAAATGGAAGGGACTACACCTATTGTCACCTAGGTCCAGAAAGCTCAATGGCTTCGATAATAAAGGAAGGTTCTTCATGAACATCACTATAATTTTGTGAAAAACTGCAAG